TTGCTGGATCCGCCACCCATGTAGGGCTGGCGCGAAGTTGACGCACTACACCTATCCAACTGCTCCAGGTCAAAGCCAGTCATCTGGGCCCTGGTCAATGTGAGACTGGGATCCTCCGCAGAACACGTGTTGCCAAGTTTCAGAATCGCCCGGAGCGCAAGTGGCACCTACGGTGATCATGAGTTTTGTACATTTTAAAAAGCTTTGTGCGAGCTCACCTGTTGTTCGTATACACCATCGACATTGGGGTCATTGATAAGATCAATGAAGTGCGTCCGTCTCTCATGATAGACGTCCTCACGGACCGTCACTTTATAAAGATTTACGCAGGGGAGTTCATGCGGTAGATTGCGAGTAACCCTTTCATATTGGTAACAGCCCGGCAAGAAAAGATCCTCTCGCCTTGTCTTCATGTGAATGTAGAATTCACGGGGGATACGGATCGGCACTGACACCAGGTCGGAATCGATGGACAACCAGAGCACGAAACGGCCAGGAGTTGAGCTCGGCCGAAGTTGGACAATATCCCAACGATTCCTTGCCCGGACTTTAACACCCTTGAACATGGTTGGGACGACGGTGTTATTGGTACCATCTCCCATACACAATTCTCTTCTCCGTTTCCAGCGGGGTCGCATCGCTTTGATCCAGGCAGAGTAGCTGATATTGGGGTCAGGGAGGGGAGTGTCCTCTGTATCCTCTTCTTCTGGCGTTTGTTGGCGAGTGACCTTGCGTCGTACAACGGCAATCCGGGGCTTGCCAGCTTTCACGGTCTCGGCGCCAACATCTTCGATATCCGTCGGCTGAGAATTCTGAGACTCCTGAGCGCCTTCCGTCTTCTTACTAAAGAAGTCTGTCATCTTGTTCTGCTTGAACTTCTCCGTCGTTTTGACAATCCGTCGGTGCAGCCAATCGGGATGAGCGATCCGTGGAACGGGGTTGGCGACTTTCTGCATCGCAGCAGGGATGGTAATGAGTTTCTGGATGACAGAGCCCAACCGCTCGATGTAATACCCCCAGTCAAGAATCGACCGCAGGTCAAAGTTGATAAGACTATTGTCCTTCAACCACTTGCGAAGATACATTCGCTTGACGCTTTCCTCAGCAGCGAAAATCGCAACTGGAACAGCACGTTCGGTAACCGGGGAGCCCATAGGCTTCGCAGAGATAATGAACTTGCAGGCGAGACCTTTGTCCTTGACCATCTGGTCTCCCAAGAACTCGGCCAACCGCCGCGCAGTACTGATGGACGTCGACTTTTGTCCTCCATATTCCGCCAGTGTCTTTGACATACTACGGTTCTCCGCAATGAGGTCAATCAGCTCTTGATCAGTGAGGGTCCGGGCACGGCCATATAGCACATCAAGCCATTGGTCCGCAACCTGCGCCACAGCACCGTAACATTCTTGAGTCGTGGTGCCGAGCAGGAACTTTTCGAAGAGTTGAGACTGGAATATCTTGATCAACTGCAGCTCTCCTCTTCGCTTGACCTCGAAACCCTTCAACTCCGCAAGAGACCCGTCATCGTTAAATACGGCATAACGCTTCTTCAATAACTTGTCCTCCTCCTTTGACGACGGTAGAATCATAGCTTTGTAGGGTCCATCCAACTCGAAGAAGATCGAATTTTCGCTGTGAACTTCGTATTCCCCCGTCTGAGGATCGAGATCATGATACTGGTGGTTGGTGAATTTCGCGTGGACAAGATGATTAAGCATGGTACAGGGATACGAAAACCCGATAGTCTTGCCACTCTTGAGCTTGAACTTGAAATTCTCCGGAAATACGCCAGGAAGCATACACCAAATACCATCCGTATCAAGCTCCAGCGGCCTCCCTATCTGTTCAACAAGCGCACGCGCCATCTGAATGATAGTAGCACCAGTCAAACACGTAATCCCCGCCATCTCCATTGAATGCCACCGAGCACCCTTCCGCATCACATAACCATAAAACGAGTTGAGGATACATTTGTGTGCAAGCTGCAACGAGTCGTACAAAACGATCATCTTCTTCGCTTCATCAATCTCGGTTATAGAACGACCTTCACCGACGACGGTATCGAGGTTCTTCTTCCATGTCTTGTGTAGACCTTTGTACTCGTAACGTCTGTCTCGGAAACGACGCACAGTGTCAACGTAGAAGGGATTTTCCTTCTGGCAGACAATGGCTTCACGAGTTTCGACCTTGGTCTCCCGAGTTTTGGCATACACCTTGCGCGAATAATCGCCAAGACGTTTATGAAGAAGTGCAGTCTGTTCCGAAGGTGACAAATCGACGAATTTCCGTTTGGGACCCCCAAGCTTCTTCGGGGGGAAGTCTTCTTGATTGAGAGCGTGCTTGATCATATTGAATTCGTCACGATGAGCTGGGAAAAATTCGCCTCTCCAGGCCCAGTCCAACCGCCTATCACACGTCTTTCCAGGTCGGTTATGGTCACAAACAGCGCAAACGGACTCATCAACCATGGAATCCGGCTGGAGACGATTGGACAACATGATGTTGGGATACATGGCTGCGACATCCAAGTGATAGATGAGGGGTTTGTCGACACGCCTGGGGTTATCCCGCATAATTTCGAGGGCCTTCCGGATGTCTGCTTTGACCTCGTCATAATTGGTTACGTCTTCGAGCTTGTCCTTGAACTCCTCAACGATACAGAACATGAGGGCAGCATCGAGGTCATCGATCAGTTGTTGGACTGCAGAAGGCACCACTTTGAAGTCGGCTGGAATGTCACTGCGGAAGACACCAGCTTCCAATGCTTCGACGTGTCCACCGACATACGTCTCGGATGCGAGGAGATGACCTTCATGCATATTTCCATGAGCTTCCTCATGTCTGTTTGGCATGATAATGTGGCCGCGATAAGCTTCAACCTTGAAGGATGGTGATTGAGTTAAAAGGGGAAAAGATTTAACAACGAAAGGCGGCATACCATGAGCAATGTTTCGCAAAGAGTGCCACTACCCTTCCTCAGAACCTCGTCTGGATTGAGAGGAATGATGTTGCATAACGAGAAAATGAAAGGATGCACGTATTTCATATAAAGATAATACGTCGCCACGGCATCAGAGACCGAATATTGCGCGAGGATTTGGGGCTGCTCCATCGCATAACTATATAAACAAGGTCAATGACTGTAAACTCTACTGGCAACTGAAAACCTACGGCGTCATGAGTTCGGGGTCCAGCTCGATAGGGCTGTAACCCAGCTTCGCATTAGTGACTGCTTTCAGACCTTGACTTCCTTGGGGAAGGTAAGAATCACGTTTGACCCATCGGAAGCAATCCATGTGTGCACAGGTATTGCTCTTGTATTCATCTTCCGAGTCCTTGGCGAAACCCGTTTCTTGGTACATGTCGATCCCATTAACTTTCGCTCGGGCGTCCAGGAAGGGGAAATCGAAGAAATCTCCGTTGAAGGTAGCCATAACTGTCGGTTTCACTTCTTGGATGTGTGAGAAGAAACGCTGAATGGTAGCAGCCTGTATCACAGGTCAGAGACAGCAGAGCTAGAAGGATTGATGGCCCACCTCATTTGGTTCGTTGAATACAATAAACGGACCCTCATAGCCCTCCTTTGGGGTATACTCAAAGTCATCAATATCCTCGCTGACAATTTCTCGGTTTGTGATGAGGTAGCCTTGGCCGTCGACCATGTACGAAATCATCATGACTTGATCAATAGCTTGGTCGGGGAATTTGAGGGGCGCCTTGGTCGTTTCGATATCGTAGGCCATAACAACAGGGTCTGCACGCTTGACTCGTTCGACGATTAGAGAGAAGCCCGGTTGGCCTTCGGTGAAGGTGACAGCGTACCACAATCCCACCCGAAGTTCGTTGTCCATCGCAACACGCAGATAGTAGGGAACATCATATTCACGGATATCGATGATGCATTCACGAGGGTCCCTATCACGACCGGCAGTTTTGAGAGATGATTCCCCAAGATCGTCTTCGAAGTCAATGTCCATAGCTGCTCCTCCAGCAGTAGCGTTCACAACTTCGGCATATGCGTCTACCGCGTCTCGTTTTGCCCCGTTCGTCTGCGCAAGGGGAGCGATATCTCGTCGGATTGTTAGCAGGTCGCTGACGTTGCGGAAACAGAGTTGGAGATAGAGACGGCGATGGCCCATGAGATGGTTTGGTAGCTTGAGGTCTTCCTTCCGGTCACGGACAATGCGAGAAATCAGGCCCTCATATTTCTTATGAAGCCATTCTTCAACAGCTGTTTCAGCCCCAGACTTCTGGAATCAGAATATGTATAGGTGGGGGGGACAGCAACTCACTTTGCACGCAATATAGAAATATGGCTCATATTGTAAAGTACATTTGAACATGCCACCATCATCTTGGATGAAGTAGAAGTTGACCGCTGCTTTCCCAGACGGCCATTCCGGGTCTTTCACCAGTGTCTGCGGAGTGTAAGGTGGAGGTAGTAGATATGAGGAACGGAACATACTGGGCGCATGTTTATTAACCATCCCTCTCGCCTGATACCCTCTTGTACCCTTGCAAAACCAAGCTTCTCGTCTATCTCGTCGTTGAGAGTAACCCTCTCGAATCTCTCTTCAAGCAGCGTGCCATCGTCTTCCCGTTTAGGAGCCGGGGAATCGCTGGGGAGGGCTGCACCACCTCGTCCTCGTCCACGGCCTCGTCCCCCGCGCCAGGAACCACCACCACGATATCCATAGCGACTTTGCGAACCCCGCTTCCCGCGATTTGAGGAAAGGCCAAATGTCCCGCGTCCTCGCCCCATTGTTGAGATCAGGACCACGGAATGCGTGACAATAATGTTCACCTTCAACGCGTTCCGTCACGCGTCGTGATTAGCCATGAATGACCCATCACAAAGTTGCCATCAATCCCAATATTCATCCACCTCTCCGCGATGTATCTCTCGTTTATCTCACCGCCTCGCGCGTACTCATTTTAACCCTCACTTCGGACTAGCCTTTCATGCATTCCCGGTGTTCTCCTCGGCCAGTAGATCAACAGGGTCGATGGCGTAGTTGGTTATCGCATCTGTCTAACACCTCGCGGTTCACAGAAGGTCCTCAGTTCGAACCTGGGTCGACTCATCCTTTTGCAGGTATCAACTCTTTTTCCAGACCCAGTACCTTGATGTCAGTTGATAAAGTAGGCTTCCAACAATCGTTTTCATACGTGTCGTACTGCTGCAATTTTTCGCATAGAACATTGCGATCCTGTAAGGCATATGGGTACGATCGAAATAGGCCAGAGGCAAAAAGTGATCATGATCTCGCTCAAGCCAGCCTCTTCTATCACCACTACACCGCCATATCTACGCTACAACACTATTAGTTTTATGCAACATTCCTGTATCAATTAGCAAGCACCTTCCAAGACAAGACTCAACCTGACCCCAGGGACAATGCTTCCTACGTCTGCCAGCCGCAGCATAACACCTTCCTCGACAACGAGTTCTTTGTTCAGCTTCTTTAGGCTTTTCAAAAAGGAAGAGCGCCCAACGCCTGAGTTTGGTATCCCTAACATCGTTATCACCCATGTGGATGTGTCGGCCCCCCAGGACAGTCTCTCGGTCTCGTCTTCATTCTCGGTTATTCAGGACTCTGCCAATACCATCAGACATAGAGTACAAGGTCCTCCTCCAGTCGATGACTTCAATGCCCGGACCCCCTTCAGTGGCGACTACCTGGTATCTAGTTCGCGAGAAACCATCAATCAGGATCTTCGTGCATCTTCCCTGTTGGCTACTCCCTCTCGCAAGCAGGTCCCTCTACGACGCATATGGGCTGAACGACTTTTTCCTTCAATGAAGTCAAGCGGATCGCTCTCCAAGAACATTGCCCTTACAGATTACTCTCCCTCCTCTCCCTCTGCCAACCACGCCAGCGACGCTATCTTCATTGTCGGTGACGACCATGATGATCATGACACCCAACCCACGTCAGACACGAAATCAATGGCAGCCGCCGATACCAATACGAAAGCAGTCGAGAGCCTCTCGATCAGATACCCATCCGAATCTCCTTTGCAAAGTAATAACAGCCTTCCGCAGGCTCCCTCTTTCTCCCGGCTACAACAGAACTGGATGCCCTCTCTTGGCTATATCACGCAGACGGTCAAGAAGATGGACTTACGAACCAAGCTTGCACGATTCTCTGAAAACTTGGTGGCGAGCTTTTCCAATAAGCTTGTGGAACTGACGGCGGACACTAGCGCCTCCGCAGTCCCAGAGGACGGAGAGGAAGGCGACGCTGGTATGGAGGACGTCGGTCGACCCTGGCATGAAATTCTCGACGACTTGGAGCGCGAGATGGACCCGTTTTCCAGGCTTGGTGTATGATTGCCTCTCCGATTCGTTGCTTACGCCGCCCATATTCTTCACATTTAATGTACTAGGCCCACTACACCTATTCAATTTTTCCTTTGCACGTTCTAAGAACTGCCAAGCCTACCCAAAGGGTAGGCAGCCCCGCACCCAACAGCCGAAATCAACTGATGGTGATGATGTACCATCAACCAGGATAAGCGAAACACAAAGTCGTTAACATGGGTCGATGGCGTAGTTGGTTATCGCATCTGTCTAACACCTTCTCCAGTAATTTACTGGATGGTTCACAGAAGGTCCTCAGTTCGATCCTGGGTCGACTCATTTTTGTCTGGTTTTGATTAACATGACTAAAATTGCCACAGGGATCCTAACGCTGAGGCGGAATTAAACAGAATACTCTAAATCAGCGGGCCTCCATGACCCCTTGCCACGCTGAAAGCCTGGAAGTGGTAGGTATTACCTCGAGTGTGGGGTCTGCCTTCATCGCTCACTCCCCCATCACCACCTGCAAAGGGCACCACACCATCACAAGCGGATAAGGAAGAGGCTCTTCAATGCTATCCCGTGCAGTTGTTGAAATCACCACGGAGAGAGATGGTTCCCCAAGACTTGGTGCGTAGCCTCTTCAGATAGACTAAATAATCCTATTTTGCTGAATATGTGTGCATATATCCAGAAAATCCGGTCAGCCGGAAATATTTAAACGTCAGTCTCAGAGAACCAGGCAAAGGAGACGATGTTGTACAAACCAACGAGAAGCCCAAACCGAAATCACGAGCACGAAAGAGTGCTGCAGTCGATGTTGCGACACCCACCCCAAAAACCTCCAGGTCCAAGAGAGCTGCTACGGGGTCGGAATCATTAAAGCCCAAAGTGTCTCCAGGAGCGTTGAAGCCAAAGTCGTCCATTGCGTCGTTAGGGGCGGCGACGAATGTGAAGCCGGTTTCAAGCACCAGTACGGCCTCGAGTGCGCAAAAGCCACAAAATAAGGCTGGCTCTGTTAGGGAGAGGAGAGGAAAGACGCTGACTGAGGTTGTTGGAATGGGCGTGGAGGGAGAAGGGAATCTGTGAGCGTTTCTTATACGGACTCTTGTTTATGTGTGTCTGGATTATTACTCGCCAAATATTCGACCCTCGTTAATAGTCACTGCCGACAAATTGATTTAGCACATGTACAGTAAACCCTATACCATATATGGTAATCCTTCCGTATTGGGACATGCACCTTTACACATGTTAAATTGACTTGTCGGTCCAGTGTAATTCTGATTTATTATTTTGTAATTATTTATCTCACTCATATTCACGTTGCATCCCCATATTGGTGCTGGTCATTCAGTCACAAAATATCTTATGTTACACCGCAGGTTACATGGAAGAGATATCGAAAGCAGTAAGATTATCAATAACCGGAAACCCGGAAAATCTATAAACCAAGAGTTGAGAACTTCCTGACGTGATACAAGGTTAGGATGATCATCACGGAATGGAGGCTCGCCCAACTTGCCGCCGAGCATAGAAGAACTCGATGGAAGAGTGTGAGGAACTGATTGGGGGCTCCCTGGGGGATATCCTCCCACACGGATGAGAATATGAACGCGAGAAATGAAAATGATGACGCCGTAAACCAGAATGCGGGGAGCGATAATAAGGTCCAGAACCAATAATCGGGGTTCCAGGACGCCTGTTGAGAGGACCAATAGATGAGAATGATGGTAAACAAGAATCAGACCAGCAGATTACCTTGAGCCAATAGTCAATCACGACCGGTTTTTGTAGATCATTGGAATTGCCGACATAGATGTGGGCAATAAAAACTCCAGTAAAAGAGTAGAAGAGGGACATGGAGCCAAAAATAGAAGTCAAGGAATGCATAGGCGCTTTGGTCACTCCCATGTATGGCACCACGACACTGTAGAGGAATTGATATAAACTTGGTGTAACGGTAAAATAGTGGAATGCAAACTGACCCAAGTGTCGCAATAAACAAATTCCGGAGAATTTTCCACTGATCATGTAGAAGGATGGCTTGTCTGCACCACTCATCACCTATTTGCATGTAGTTCTGATAGGACCTGAAGTTCCGATCTCGGGACGCAAGGGTGTGCGAGCATTTATATTGCATGCGGTAAAGATTGGGAAGGAATAGGTGTAAGGCCGTCCATGTGGCCCAGGATGCTCTGGCAACAGGAGAAGTTTGAGAAAGCATCGAGAGGGTTGACCCAAGTGATACTCCATGTATGGATGGATGATCAAGTTTTAAAGGGATTTGGGTCATGGTTGAAGGGCCACGATAAGGTTCCTGGGGTCGTGTGTTGCAATCTCAAGGTCATTGCCATTTACGTCGACAGATCAACTGCGTTCCATATTCATACCATGAATCCTGTACCACACATGGTATGTCACACTAAAACCTGTGTGGGCGTTTGTGGCAATCGTCAATCGCTGTTGAGTCTAAAATACACCATGCATGACCCCGTGCACCATAGCACATCAACTTTGAGCCCAAAACACACCAGACACATGACCCAGGACTCATGACATGCAAAATTGACTTATCGGCCCAGTGGTGACAAGACATACCGATTCGATCATGCGGCAGCCAGCCGCGTTGGCTAGCAGCCTCACACAATGCATTCACCTCTCGTTTTGTCATCGGCCTACACATAGGATAAGAAGGATAGACCGGAAGTAGCCCATTTGACATGAGATTTGCTGCTTTCCCCATTCGGTGTGTTATTTTCTGCTGAGGATGTAAAAGGATGTAACCTATCAGTAACCTATCCTCAAGTTGCTGATGGATGCAACAGCAGTGGCACCTGACCTTCGGCCGAGAGCGACAATTGGCTCGAATTACAGCGGCTTGCCCTTTATATCGACCTTCTGCCCTGTCTTTTCAATCTCGTCCGGGGTTGCCACGTTAGGTTGCCACGTTGGGTGATATTGTATGGGACATTTATTAATGGCATATATGGTATATGAATTGAACACTGGCAGTTCGGTTTGGGTGATAGGGGAATGGGCGGTAAAGCCCAAAACCCCGGGCGGTGAGGTCGAAGAGGAGCGCGTCGGGTCACCCAACGGTGCGCTCTTTCGATCACCTGTGCCAGTGTTCGAAGGGGAGAGGAGGGTGGGCTAAATATAAAATGTCTTGTAGTGTCGCGAAGGGCACGGAAGATGTGCGTGACGTCACGTGTCTCGCGGTCGAGAATATACACCTCGCTCGCTGCACTCGCTAGGTGTGCCACAACAAGAGCGAGTGATGGTAGCAGAGCACGGTCTCCGTGTCACAGTCATATAAGGTATGGCGCTCCTCTGCTCCCAGATGCGCCATCCTCCAGCCGGTG